TAACAAAAGTAAATTCAGTAGCCAGTTAGAATGCTATTTTACTGCATCTACTTACGAAAGCCTGTGGCTTCCTGTAACATGCCGTCTGTGAGAAGCAACCTTAGTAAAAGGAGCCTCTACTAATTTAGTCGCCATACCACCTATTATCAAGCTGTCTAGCCAGTTCATGGCAATCTAACCAGGAATATAAGATTTTGCTGAAACAGAAGCAAGCATGGCACGGTTTTTCTCCTTGCTGACTTTTCTGAATCTAATCCTTTTACTTTTTATCTAGGTGAGATCTTGTCATTTGTTTTTTGGGAGACTGGTTTATATCAGTGAGCACAGTCATGTAGTAGGCCGTCCGTGTTTTCTTAATGAGAGAAGAAACATAAAATCTGAGTCCCTTTCTCCTACAAGCTGCAGTTTGACAAGAGTCAACTGTCTCTCCTTTAGAACCAGGGTTTTGAATTAATGTTCTGCAAATTCAATTAATTAATTGTGTGTGATAACTTCAAAAGAACTATACAAGCTTTTCCCATTGAGTTTTTGTAATTTTCCTTTAATGTTTTATAGCTGAATGAGGTATGTATTATGCTTTGATTTAAGGTTTTGTTTCATGTTACAATGCAGATAACGCTGTGGTTGATGAAGCTGAAGAATGCTTTAAAGTGATCGGGCCTCAGTAAACTTCTAAGGAAATACAAAGCACAGCTGTGAATGACATTTTTTTTCTCAGCATTTAAAGCTAGTGAGAGATAGAAGACAATGTAGATTTTGGCTTTTAAGAATAAATTTTTATTTATTTTTGTAAATTTAACATCTTTCTAGTAAGATTTTTGCCCTAAATGGGGTTTCATGTATGAGGTTTCATATATACATTTTCATGTATGGGGTTTCATGTGAGGTTTGACAGTTAAAGGGGAAAGTTTTCTCAGTATGGGTAGCATCTTATATTTGAGAAAGCCTATGGAGAGAATGCATAGCAGCAATACAGTAAGTACGTTTTGTAGCTTTTCTTTTAAAAATGACGGATGGCCATAGCTAGGTCATCAGTGAAAGATGACTTTTGGAGGAATGAGGCTTGTTTCAGGTTAGCCTGGTTTCATTTAAAGGGATTTGTCAGCACAGTCCGTTCTAATTGGAAAATAAGAAGAATAGCCAGGTGTTTCAGGGATGTTTGAAACTATGGTAAGCCAGGCAAGCAGTATGTTCCATCAGCCTCAGTTTTAGGCATCATGAGCAGAATTGATTGTACTATTAAGGTAACACTGCGGTAATTGGTGCCTACAGGTACCAAGACACTCAGCAAAGAGGAACAACTGAATAGAGTTATCTGTAACTACAAAATGTAAGTAACACTTAAAGTAGTTCCTAAAATAGATGAGCCAAACAACAGAATGCTTGGAAACATACAAATTTTATCAGGTCATCTTTAAATGCTATTTTAAATATGAATTTTATCTCATTGTTCTTTCTTTTAATTCTCCATTCAATTTAAACTTCTGAAACTTCTGAATTTATTATTTAATCGAACCTATAAGAGCAAAAAAAAAAAAATCCTCCTGAAGGTAGAATCTAAAAAAAAAAAAAAAAAAAAAGGGAAATGCAGTGCTTTTTCTACTCTATGCCATGAAGAAATTTCTTCTTGTTAAGACAACAGATTTCTTTTTTGCAAAGACCTCCTGGAGTGTCTCAATGTGCTGCAATTAAAGAGATGAACTTTGCCAATAGGCAATAGAAGACAGAAATCAAACAGAATAATCTTGAAAGAGAGCGAATAGCAAGGTGACCAAGTTTGCTGGTATATTAAAGAGGTTACCAAAGGTAAGGGCTGACTGCAAAGAGCATCAGAAAAACTTAAAGAGATCAAGGATATGATTCAGCTCCATACCAACACTCTTAAACTTAGGTGCCTGCATGGAAACTAGTTGCTCATGATCCTATTGTAGTCAGTGGAAAGCTGGTCAATGCAGGCAATGGGACCTTGAGAAGCAATGAACTGGTCACTGACAATATGATTAGGCAAAGTGGTAAAAAGGGATTTAAGTAGAGTACTGTACCATAAGGAGGAATTATACTCTAATAGATCAGGCAATGGTTTAAGAGTGAATAAGAAAATGCACATGAATAACAGCTAAAGTAAGGGCATGGAAAGTTCTTTGAAGTAGTTTCTTGGATGATATTACCCTGCTTCAGATAAGGCAAATCAAAGTAATCAAGTAAAAGTTACTTTGCTTTTTAACAATAAAGGATTTTAGCTCCACATCTTGTTTTACTAATGTAAACCTTTGATTTGCTGTAACAATATTAGGGATAACTAATATTTTTAGAAGTATGTTCCCGCTTCTAATCATTAATTAATAACAATGTAGCCTAATATTTAACAAAATGAAATAATATTTAAACATTTTTCAGAAATGCTTTACAAGAAAGGGAAAATAGAAGTATTTAAAGTTAGTACTTAACTATCTAGCTACAGGACTTCTCAAACAACGTCTTGGATGCCTGAGACAGATAAAACAGATCATACGATGACAGATGTATTGGGAGTTTTCAGTCCGTGATGGGGGACTGGTTACCAGCTACGCTGCAGCTGCTGCTAAGCATATTTTGGAAGGCAAGGCTCCGCTTTGTAGTGCACCCTCTCGATGCCATGCAATGCCACAACTGCTCTCCTGCTTGGTGGCCACCAGAATCAGATGCAGCTGGACAGCACATAAAAGAGATTGCTACCCAGCTGTGTCTGCCACCTGACATTGCAAAGTAGGAGAGAGCATATGGCACTGTGTTACAGAGGTGTGAGACTAACTGAACTGATGAAATATATGACTGAACTGTAGACTTGACGTGAGACCAAACAGGTCTGTCGCAATCTGGAAGTCTAGAGTTTATATTTTGAGGAAGTGAATATCGTCTTTCAAATCTCAACATGGCCCACTAATAAATGAATAAAAATGTTTAGTGGTGGTGTTCTGCGTTATGTCATATTCATAGTAATGCCATGAAACTGCCTTTAGCTCTGCTAAACCAGGGTGCAGTCACTAGTTCAGCTCAATAAGCAGTATTAGCATGGAAAGGCCACAGTGTATGGAACTGCACTAAGAATAGACTTAGTTCTTTTATCCAAGACACTTATAAATAACTGCTACTTTTCAGATGCATTGTATGACATGTCATGAAAAATAATTTTAAAAGAGCAGTTGAATAATCCTTCTGTAAGGACAAAAGATACCGGAAAGATTGCTATGTGTTTGAACCAAAAAAGGCCTTGACCTTTACTAGCTGAATGGGTGCTTATTAAACTGTAAACAACTACTAATTATCTCTGCTGATCATTAAAAAATTTTTCATTCATCTCAAATATGCTCAGCCTTGTGGAAATGCAAAGCTTAGCTTTGGCACTAGCTATAGACAAGAAGTAACCTCTAAACATATGTCTTCTATACTCTTTAGCTCTAAGTATAATTACAAGTGTATTAATTACACTTGTCTGGAAATATTTTTATTATGATAAATGCCTGAGCCTGGAAAAATCTTGACTGCCTTTTAGGCTGCAACTGGCAGAGTTGGAAGCTGGGACAGAAAAAACACATTTTTTTTTCTTGCATACTGAAAATCTGATCCTGAGGTACAAAAGAGGCAATAAATATTGCACCCAGGTAAATGAAGTAAGCATATGGAGACATGCACGTCTTTTACAAACATGACAGGGTGTGAAGAGACTGACAGGAGGGCATAAAACATTCAACTAATATGATCTAGTATATAATAAAGTATCTGGTAGTACTGTCTTGGATTTGTCAGTGTAAAATGATAGACTTAAAAAGAAATTACTGCCATTTGGTGCACTGAAATTAGAAAGAGGCATAACTTTTCTACCACATGCATGAATAGCTTCTTTCAGAGCCATCAACCTCTTTTTTACCCCCACTTCTGAAATAATCTGTGGTAGCTTTCCTAATCAAGCATTTTCTTGAAAAGATGAACAAACAAGAAATATGAAAAAGCTCTTGTCAGGAAGAGGAAAATCATGATGGATGCCAGCATTCCAAAATTTTTACTATAAATATTTCCTACATCTAAAGTTATTTCTGTGAATCTTCAGATGAACTTGTTGCCTAAGAAACAAAACATGAATGTTTACATATTGCATCTTTGGCAAATCGTTTTATGTGATTTTAGTTGCCTTGTATAACTTAGATATGGCACTGTATTAACCAGGCTATCAAAAAACTGTGGTAAACTTACTTTATCATTAGACCCTACATTTTCAAACTGATACATGAAAGATCTTTCTGTACAAAGCAATGATGTTAACAGGCGTCTCACAGGCAAGACAGCTGCATTCAAACACAGCTATTTGCCCAAGGCTGGCAAATTAATAGACTGCCTGCATTAATCAGATACTTTATCCAATTGATTTGGCTTGACAAGCCGTAGTCATTATATTTAAAATAGATCATTTAGAGATAACTGAAGCATTAATCTTCACCTCAGTTTTTGCAGCATACAGGAAATTCAAAAATGATTTTAAAAACTCATTCTCAAGCTTCTTCACCAACCATCTAAATTAATTTGCAGTGTTTAAACCCAAGGTCTTTTAGTCAAAAAATATTTTAGCATGCTTCCCAAATGACAACAGAAGCAACAAGGCATATTCAGATCACTTAAATTCCAAACTAAGTTGCTGTGGTTCTAGGCAGATCCCAGCTAGGACTTTACCGTGGCCCCATAAAATGCTCTCTAGCACTCTGATGGCCAGGCTGAGAGACTCAGCTGAAACATAGACTGTGTGCTGCCAACAATACAAAGTCTTCATAACATCATGACTCTCTTGTGCACCAAGCATTTGAAGTATGCTATTGCCATGCATAGGAAACTGCAAACAAAAAACTACTATGAAAAAGGATAGTACACTGTCTAGATCCTCAAAGACTACACCCAGCTTTTCTGCATGATCTCTACCTATATAACTTCTACACATATATGGCACCTATACATATATAACCACATATTACCTTGCTTCCTTGAATACCTTTTGGGCCTGG